TATCATTAAGTATGTATTTTTCTTGTAAACGAACGTAATTATTTTAAGGTTCATTTGTGACATACATGGACAGGTATATATACCTGTATCTAGAAATGATTATCACAAAATCATACCACATAGCCACTTGCCAGGAGAATTCAATTTTGTATGTGATTTATTTTTCATAAATCTCAGTTATTTCTCCCATCCCCTGGTATTTAACCATTAAAAAGTGGGTTTGTAGAAGGTGGTCTTTCTGCAGAGTGTCTTTGTTCGTTGCCAAATTGTGCTAGAGCTCAGCACTTTGGGAAAACATGAAGGTAGTGCCTGTTTTCTTGTGGTGTGTTCCTAGTCTTGTTGTGGGTTAATCTCCCTCCCTGGGCTTCAGCTTATCCTTCAGCAACTGATACTGAAGGGACCACTTGGAAGCAGTGCTTAATGAATAATAATAGTACTTGTTCTACTTATAGAAGATGTTGACAGTACTAGAATCTAAGAAGGAAAAAACCTATGCTTTTAGAATATCATTGAGTGTTTAATGGTCCCTTGTGGAAGAAAAGGGTAAAGTTGGAAAAGGAATAACAAGTTTATGGGGGAAAATCTTATTAGCAAATGATCATTTTCTTCACCTATACTCAAAAGAAACTTGTTTCTTTACTAGCCAGTTTTTGTCATTAAAAATAATGTGTGGTAGTTTTAGGACCATAAAACAAAGAGCACTTCATTGTGTGAAGCACTTTTTATTTTAAAGAGAATGGTACTGATAGAAACATTTCAAGAGCGTTTGACAGGTCTTCTGAAACTTTTTCTATTTTCTTGGGGTTTTTTTCAGGTCGTACGTTTCCTGTTGATCAGTTTTTTTTGGAAGATGCAATTGCCGTAACAAGGTGAGGAGGATCATAATTAAGGCTCGTTGGCAACAGCACTGTTAGACCGTGAGTGTGTCAGGATGGTAATGAAAATGATCATCTTATGATTTTCCTATTTGAGCACTTTGTTTCTCCTTTATTTCAGCAAATATGTACGATATGAATTATTTGCAAATCACAGTCGATATCAGATTTTGATTAAGAGTACCAACCCTGGAGACAGACCTGGGATTAATTAAATCCTTCCCATACTAACTTTAGAATCTTGCTTAGGATATCCTACGCTTTAGTTTCCTCATATTTAAATGGGCATTATCATCCTCCCTTTACGGAATTTGCAGTATTATATGAGAGTTTTGATGACTTTCTCTCGCTTTTTCTCTTGTTTCTATTCCTAGTAAGCCTCTTTGCTAATTTCTTAAGTATTTGATATTACAATATATTCAAGGTAAAATTCGAAGAACAATGACCTTAGAATTTAGGGTGTTATGGGAATACTTGAATAGCTTGTGAAAATTGTTAATTTCTGCGTTTTACCCCATTCCTGTTGACTATGACCCTCTGGAGAGATGGATCATCTTTGACCTCATTTATTTGTTTATTTATTTATTTGTCTTTTTCCAACTCATTGCC